GTATCAACTCAACATTTCTGACTGGGAAGGCAGTATGACACACACATTCTGCATCTCTTTTTAATTACCGAACAAAAATCTAATAAAATAATTTTAACTTTAAATTAATAGACACGTTAAATCAACGAGAGCGATGATGGTCAACAAGATTGTCAATTTTACTGCTTTACATTCAACGATAGAACAGCTTTATTCCATACATCAATAAATTGCGAACATACAATCCGACACCTCCAAGTTTCAGAACACAAATAATCTACGACAATGCAATAATAACATGAATCCATTGTACATGATTACCATATTTGATCAGAGCTTTATTTTTTTATTTTTTATGTTTCATATAAATGTTAAATCACGCGTTCACAGTTTTACAAATTTAAATATGTTAGCAACATTGATAATAACCTTGTATTAGGACGAAACGTTTGCTAGGTAATAATTTATGTAGTTAATATAATATTAGCAAATTTATTTGGCTCGTAGCTCTTTTTTATAATTTAGATTTTTAATCATTGAGCAGCTTCTCACTTTTATTAATAAATTATTAAAAAATAAAATTAAATATTGGAAAGAATATAGGAAAATAGTCAATGAAATCATATCAAAGGTTGAACAATATACCATAATAGATAAAAAAATATTAAAAATAAAAAATTAAGTCTTCTTTATGTAAGAGTTGTTAAAGCTTTCTTCGTTCAAAGGCGAGAAAAAGTCGGGTCAAACAGATAAGATTATTTTATGTTGTAAGATAAATAAAGTCAATGGTCAATAAGAATCTGATAGTTAAAAATTTTGAGGTATATTTATGTATAAATATATATATATATATAAATAAATTAAAAGTATTATATTACACCAAAAAAGAAGTAAAAATGTCTAAAACTTATTTAATTTTTAAAAAATAAATTCTGTAAATAGATTTTATAGAAAGGTTTTTTCTCGCTTTTGAACGAAAAAAATTTTGACAATTCTTACATAAAGAAGATTTAATTTTTAATTTTTAATATCTTTTATCTGTTATGATATATTGTCCAACCTTTGATATGGTTTCGTTGACTGTTTTTCTATGTTCTTTCCAATATTTAATTTTATTTTTTAATAATTTGTTAATAACTTTTTAATCTTATATAACTACTCTTATTATTTTAATGGCTGAGGATGACTAACAATAAGTAAAGTCAAAACGTTCCATTTATTAATTCTTGTAAAAAATTCTTAAATCTTTTATGATATAGATTAATGTCTTAATAAATATTTATATTATCTTATTTTTTAAGCTCATATATTTGATCTATCTTCCTATTCATTTGTATTTACATATTCGAGCAAGAAAATTATATTATAGTATTTTTAAAAGTTTAAATATTTTTGTGGCCTATGATACTCCAGTGTCTTCCCCAAATCATAAAACATAACGATACCGATAACGCGCTAAGATCACGAGTCATAACTTTTTCGTTAAAAAAAGCACACTGGCAAGATTTACCCGGATTCTTATCGTCGAATGTCAATCGTGCCGTACATGCAACTGTGCCGTTTCCTGGTGGAGGTTATCGACTATGCTCTTCAATTCAGCGACGAGTTTGTCGGCAGGATCTGACTGTGGTGCGAACGTATTCATGATCTCTCGTACTTTGTCGTATGGTCCATCGCGACAATCTTGCTCGGCTTTCCACATGCTGTATGCCATCAGAGCCGGAATGGAGCGTTCCATCGTGACGACTTTGTTTTTCAGCTGCCGCTGACGGCCAATCAGATCACATCGACGTTCCTCGATCTCGGATGTTATGTTCGCCAACGGCGAATTAATCGCTTTCATAAAAGAAATTTGTCTTTTTATTTAAAAAACATTTTAACTGGAATATTTTTAATTAAATTAATCAAACTAAAGTCAATCTTTAGCCTCGAATGGGACACTGATTATTTATCTTCGGCAATAAAGTGGATGAATCAACGGTTAATTGAAGGTTACTCACTGATTTTGGTCGACATTCCGATGGTTCTATGATTACAGTTGAAATATATGAAGATGAAATTGGTCGCACGGACGTCGACGGTCTGAGGACTGTGTTTTTTACTTGAGACTTTTGAATTAGAATGCAAAATAATGGAAATAGTTAGTTGCTTTTGCTAGAGCACGGCATTGATCAGAATTTTGGGGATAGAGAGATGAAATTTGTATGCATAGCTTTTGCCGACAATATCAGTACGGTAACGGTAATCGAAAGTAAGTATTTTAGTACATACCTAATGGCTCTCGCAGATGGGACGCGGTAACGCTTGCCGCGCGACAGAAATTATGGCATAGTAGCCAATTATTTTTAGGCTGCTATTTCATTTATGCGTTTTTGTCGTACGACAAATTTTTCAAACCTGTTGATTGGCTACAAGATAGAGAGATCCGAGGACCTCTCTGTCCTGTACGTACATATTTGTCGTACGAAGAAAACGCACAAATGAAATAGTACCCATAGCCTAATATTACATTTGTCGTATGACAACGCATTTCAAGCCTATTGATTGGCTGTAAGAAAGAAAAGTTGTCGGATCTCTCTGTCCTATAGCCAATCAATAAACTTAAAATCTTTGTCGTATGACAAATGTAATACCGGCCTTTTACTGGAAAAGCGATAAATTGATTGGCTCTCGCGCCAATTTCTGCCGCGCGGCAAGTGTGCCGCGTTCTGTGTGCAGGAATCATATATTAATGCATGATATAAATATTATAATATTATAAAATAGGTTTTCTGTTGCGAATTAAATGTGGATCGACCTTTGTATATGTACGTACACATTGAAATGGATATGCAAAACAAAAGACAATTCTGACATTCGTATTCTCATGGTACGTTCAGGGAAATGCTATCAGCGCTACTTCTGTCATTCTTCGTTGTTTATTAGACGTAAAACAACGATAAAATGATACAAATAATGCTAATAGCGTCTCCCCGAACGCACCTTATGTCTCTCAGCAAATTTCCCGGCATTTTCATTAACTAACTTCACTTCTTTCAGTTAATTAAGCATTACGGCGATTCTTGTTAACGATATACAGAATGATATAAATGTTTACTGACTGTTTAGTAATTGTGAAGGCCGAGGACAAAGATTATCGGGATATCTGAAATCTGGAGCAGGCCACGTGGGGCCAAACGAGCCATAATGTTATCACTCGGCTCATTCAAAAGTATAAATTTATTGAATTAATTCTAAGTAAAATCGTAATGTTTAGAGTTGTAATTCTATGCATACCTTAAAACGTATAATTATTATTTATAAGAAATCAGAGATATTAATATATCTACCATTTCTTATAAATCTTATTACTAGCAAGAAGCTATCTGTGCAATAAAGATAAGCACAAAGTATAAAGTTAAGCATTCTACTCATTCTCAAAAGTTTTACGAGAACAAGTTACAATTCTTTTTATTGATCCACATACTAAGTGATTTAGGAATTTTTATTGTAACTAATTTCTTGTAACAAGCGGATGCGCAACTAACTCAGGTTTCGTGCAATTGTATTGTTGCGAACGACACATTCTGTTGCTTTATCTTATATCTATGTGTAGAGGAAGGTCACCTATACTGACATAGGTCTCCTAAAGCGACATCCCCTTATTTCCTAGAAACTAACCTTTGCTCTTTATTAATACTAATAAAAACATAATCTGTTTAGCTAATTAAGAAGTACAAACTCATAATTCTTATATTTGTGACTTATTTCTATACCAAATTAGCTAAAAACAAATTCTATGAATTCGAGAAGAAAATTCTTACGGTGTTCTTTTGCAAATTGCGTAATTAAAATAATAGTGACTGTATTATTGATAATATTATGTCATTTTAAATGTTTATAGTTTCATAAATTAGTTTTCTTTACAGAATAGGATACATCTTTATTTATAGAATAGGAATGTTGGCATTATTACTTACTATGTCAGTTTTGGAGACCATTTTGTCAGACGCTCATTTTTGCATAACTTACGAAAAACTTAATTATTGCAAAATTGCAAACAGTATTATAAAAACTGCTTATACTATCTGATAGAAGACACTTTTTAGTTTGTATTTATGTTTTTGAAGTTGTATTTTTACCTTTTGTTTAAGAAATATTGTCTAAAAACAAAGTGGTATGTCGGTATCGGTGACCTTCCTCTATATTTATTCGTTTGGCAAAGATACACTAAAATGTCTGTTACTCCTGAATAATTACATGGGACATCTTACATTATTCTTAAAAGTATTAATAAGTGGAAAGATTTGTCTTTAAAAAATTAACATTTTCACAGTAAACTGGAGGAGCCGACAACACGGCGGGATGATGATGACTTCTCTCTGGTAACTGTAACAAGCATTTCCCTTCAGGAGAGCACAGGCAGTACCTTCACTGGGTCAGTCTATACAAATTGGGAAGAGAAATTCGCCTGTCACTCATTACAGGGCCGAGATCGCGTTTTCAGCTGTCGGAAGAGGAGGACTCACTTCGGTGATGGAGTCTTCAGCGCACCAGCTGGCGTCTGTGCGCGTCATGTTACTTCGTCAGTCATTCGTCGTAATACAGGTTGAATGTTAAACGCAATTGTTAAGACTTTTTTTGAATAAATAGAGATGACTTCCATAATTCAATCTGCAAATGGCGTGTTTGAAATGGGAAGTACATTCTATGTGTTTTATCTCTTCACTTGCTTTCGACGAGATAAAATATGTGAATGCATAGCAAATTGATGTTTTTCTCAAGATAAATGAATAAAAAATGAAAACACTTCGTTATAGGCGATTCTCGGCTCGTGTTCGTTTGGCCGCAGAAAGCCAGTCGGAGTCGA